GCCGCCCACACCTCTGAACTTTGAGGACTCCCCTGCCAGTGGCTGAGTTTCCTCTTGCTATCATCAGACTCTGTCATTTTGTCCACCCTCTGTCACTTATGTGTGTTAAAAAGAGCAAGGTCACTTTTTCCACCCTCTGACACTTATGTGTGCCATGTTAAACTGAGATTATGTATTTAGGTATTTTAATGTGAGCCACATTAAACTGGAATTATGTATTTAGGTACTTCTACTTTTAATAGACTGTGAATGATGAGAGTAGGGACCATGTACTTCTACTTTTATTAGGCTGTGAACGATGAGAGTAGGGACCTTGTCTTATTTATGTTTCTTTCCCATGTTTAGACACTTAGAAGAGTGAGCAGACTGTGCCCCATTGGAGTATTGCGGTGGTTTAGAGATGCTGGGTTTCAGAACTGTGAATTTTCTGGAAAAAATATAGTATGGACTGTTTGGATATATCAACTTAGTCTTTACTTGGCAAAAGGAACAAACTACCAGCTCTCATTACCATCTTTTCCTTAATATTTTCAAAACGTGTGAAGGCAGTTATTTCAGAAAAAGGGACAGGCCTTCCCAGGAAGCTTGAGTAGACGGTCTTATTTTGTGGCTGGGTGTGCAAGGTGCAGTATATTTTTGCAGAGAGGCATGAATGCAGAGGCTCTGTGGCAGGATGGGTTTGTCCTGGGGTTGGAGGGTGCAGTGAGAAGTGGGTAGAGTCTTGTAAGCTGGAAAAGGGGTTGTTTGGTTTTGTTTTGAGCTTCCTTTTCTTTTCTTTTCTTTTCTTTTTTTTTTTTTTTGAGGCAACGTATCGCTCTGTCGCCCAGGATGGAGTGTGGTGCTGCAATCCCAGCTCACTGTAACTTCCACTTCCCAGGTTCAAGCGATTCTCCTGCCTCAGCCTCCCGAGTAGCTGGGATCACAGACATGTGCCACCGCACCTGGCTAATTTTTTGTAGTTTTAGTGGAGACAGAGTTTCTCCATGTTGATCAGGCTGGTCACAAACTCCTGACGTCAGGTGATCCACCCGCCTCAGCCTCCCGAAGTGCTGGGATTACTGGCGTGAGCCACTGCACCCGGCCTTATTTGAAGCTTTATGGAAACAATTTTAAACATGGCAGTTGTATGCATTATGTTTTAAAAGGATTCTTGGAGCACTGTGTGTAAAGGCACTGGAAAGGGGCAAGTGTGGGAGAATCATTGGGAAGCTTCTGCAAACATGCAGGGAACAGGCAGCCCAGACTGAGGTGCGGCGGAGATGGAGAGGAATTGAGTCAACAGGTGTTTAGGAGGAAGAGACAAACAGGACTGGGGTTGAGCGTGGCAGGTGAAGAGAAGGAAGAGTCTAGAATGATCCCACAGGTGAAGGGGCTACTTTCTGAGAAGGGAAAGACTGGAGAAGGAGCATATTGAGCAGATGGAATTGAGAGTTTAGTGGGTTTTTTTGTTTATTTCTTTGGGACAGAGTCTCGCTATGTCATCCAGGCTGGAGTGCAATGGTGCGATCTCAGCCCACTGCAACCTCTGCCTCCCGGGTTCAAGTGATTCTCCTGCCTCAGCCTCCTGAGTAGCTGGGATTACAGCCACCATGCCCGGCTTATTTTTCTATTTTTAGTAGAGATGGTGTTTCACCATGTTGGCCAGGCTGGTCTCGAACTCCTGACCTCATGTTCCACCCACCTCAGCCTCCCACAGTGCTGGGATTACAGGCATGAGTCACTACACCCGACCTAGTTTTATTTTTTAAACGGCTTTATTGCGCTATAATTTGCAGCTCATAAAATTCATTCAAGTATGTAATTCAGTGTTGTTGTTGTCTTTGAGAAAGGGTCTTGCCATGTTACCCAGGCTGGTCACAAGCTGCGGGGCAGAAGCAGTCCTCCCACCTCAACCTCTGGAGTAGCTGGGATCACAGGCATGAGCCACTGTGCCCAGATAATTTCAGTGATTTTTTTTATACATTTACAGAGTTGTACAAGCATCGCCATCATCCCATTTTAGCACATTTGCCTTACCTCAGAAAGATCGCCATTCCCAATGGCGGTTAGTCCCTGTTTTCACCACACCCAGGCAGCCACTAACCTACTGCATCTCTAGATTTGCTTGTGGAGGGCATTTCATATCAATGGAATCTTACAATGTCTGGTCTTGTGTGTCTGGCGTCTTCCACTAAGCGTGTGTTTGCAGGGTGCATCCATGTTGCAGCATGTATCAGTACCTGGTTCCTTTCCATTGCCTCAGTGTTCCTTTGTGGATAGACCATATTTTGTTGATGGATGCTTGTCTTAGTTAATTCAGGCTGCTCCAACAAAATAGTGTAAACTAGGTATTTCTGTTATAAGTAACAGTAATGTATTCCTGTAGTTCTGGAGGCCGAGAAGTTCAAGATCAAGGTGCTGGCAGATTCAGTGTCTGGTAGGGCCTGCTAGCTGTGTCCTCACAGTGGAAAGAACAGCCAGGCTCCCTCAGGTCTCTTTAATTTATTTATTTGAGACAAGGTCTCGTTCTGTTGCCCAGACTGGAGTGCAGTGGCATGATCATGGCTCACTGCAGCCTCAACCTCCCAAGCTCAAGTGATCCTCCCAACTCAGACTCCTGAGTACCTGTGACTATAGGCATGCACCACCACACCCTGCTAATTTTTGTATTTTTTGTAGAGATGGGGTTTCACCATGTTGCTCAGGTTAGTCTCGAACTCCTGGAGTCAAGTGATCCACCTGCTTTGGCCTCCCAGGATTTCAGATGTGAGCCACTCCGTTCAGCTAGTGTCCGTTTTAAAAGCACATTAATCCCATGACGTAATCACCTTCCAAAGTCTTCACTTTCTTTTTTTTTTTTGTTTTTTGTTTTTTGAGACAGAGTCTTGTTCTGTCACCCTTCCTGGGGTACAGTGGCACAGTCCCGGCTCACTGCAACCTCGACCTCCTGGGTTCAAGCAATGCTCATGCCTCAGCCTCCCAAGTAGCTGGGACTACAGGTGTGTGCCACCATGCCCAGCTATTTTATTTTATTTTATTTTTTGGTAGAGATGGGGTTTCACCATGTTGGCCAGGCTGGTCTCAAATATCTGACCTCAAGTGATCTGCCTGCCTTGGCCTCCCAAAGTGCTGGGATTACAGGTGTGAGCCACCATGCCCGGCCGCCAGGGAATGTATTTAGCAGTTGGTAGAGGAGGAGGAAAGAACTTCAGAGAGGTAGGTGAGAAACAAGCTCTGGGCTGGAGGGGCCAGAGGAGTATGTAGGCCAAGCGGAGGCTGCTAGGCTGCTTGGAGAAGAAGTGGTCTGCCGCAGAGTGCTACTGAGAGGTAAAGTGAGGAAACAGAAAGGACCTCTGCCATTGGTGACTTGAAAGTAGTGGTGGTTGCCAGGCATGGTGGCTCATGCCTGTAATCCCAGCACTTTGGGAGGCCAGGGTGGGCGGATCACGAGGTCAGGAGTTGAAGACCAGCCTGACCAACATAGTGAAACCCCATCTGTGCTAAAAATACAAAAATTAGCCGGGTGTGGTGACACGTGACTGTAGCCCCAGCTACTTGGGAGGCTGAGGCAGGAGAATCGCTTGAACCCAGGAGGCAGAGGTTGCAGTGAGCCGAGATTGTGCCATTGCACTCCAGCCTGGGCAGTAAGAGTGAGAGACTGTCTCAAAAAAAAAAAAAAAAGGAAAGAAAGTAGTGGTGGCCTGGTGAAGATTGGATTGAGTCTGGAGTGATTGGATATTGAAGTATGAGATTTCATGAAATTTTTATAACTGTACTGGCCCGTAAATGAAAGACTCAAGCTTAAAGAACGTGTTGTACCTTCAGTTCAGTTTCTTCCATTTACCATATTTGCCTTTTTATTTGATTGACTACATCCAACTTGTTTAGCAATCTACCCAGCTAACTGCATTCACTCGTGTTTAACTGTATAGCATTGCTCTGTATTTGTCTTTCCTTTCAGACTGAGCGTACTAGTGAAATACTGTTTGTCCTCATATATCAATTAGGATTGTGGTTGGCTATAACAGAAAACCTGATTGAACAGAGGCTTAAACAGCTGTTATATGCAGAAAACATACACCAGACATTACAGCATCCGGAGTTGGCGTGTGGTACCTTCACCATGCCATCTGGGGCTGCAGGGGCTCTGTCATTCCACTCAGCCATCGTTAGTTTGTGACTTTTGTGCATGTTTCATGACAGTTGCAAGATGTAGCTTCACTCCAACATCATGCCTTTGTTCCAGGCAGAAAGAAGAAGAATGGAGGGCAAAAGGCTTATGCCAGGGAGTCTGCCTCCTTTCCAATTGCCTTTTTGACCCACAGCTTCTACTGACATCTCATTGGTCAAGAGCTATCACATGGCCACCTAGATGCAAGGGAGTCTGGGAATTATAGTGTTACTGTGAACAAAACCAGTACTCCCTTAGTACAGAAAAGGAGAACAAGGCATGCTGGGTAGATGCCTGCCACACTTTAAATAAAACAGCCAGGTATGGTGACGCATCCCAGTAGTCCCAGCTGCTTGGGCGGCTGAGGTGGAAGGAAGGATCACTTGAGCTTAGGGGGTCGAGGCTACAGTCACCCATGATCATGCCACTGCACTCCAGCCTGAGTGGCAGAGTAAGACCCTGCCTTCAAAAAATAAAAAATAAAATAAAAAATTCCATATGATAGGAGGGGCCGTGTTCATTCAAAATTACCAGCTGGCGACAACATATAGTCTAGCAGCTTTGGAGCTTTGATCCTGGAATTAGTTTTGTCAATTACTTGGAGCCCTAACACTCTTATGCTGTCTACTCCTGTTTCCTGTTCTCCCCCAGAATCCACGAGGGTGGGAACTGTTTATCTTTCATCTCCCACAGTGCCTGGCCCAGAAGCCTTGCTAAATATTTGAACAGGATTGCCCAGTGAGTTTGTGCACAATAGTGTTTGTGGACACCTGTCTTCTGTAGCTCTGGGTTGGGAATGATTTGTATGCCCAAATGGCTCTCTCGTGGTTATTTTTTGGTTTGCTTTTAGATACTTTTCTGCTGTGAGAATGTAAGATGGATCCAGAAGAGCAGGAGCTCTTAAATGATTACAGATACAGAAGCTACTCTTCAGTGATTGAAAAGGCTTTGAGAAATTTTGAGTCCTCGAGTGAATGGGCGGATCTCATATCTTCACTTGGCAAACTCAACAAGGTATGTCGGGTGTATCCTATTTGGATTGCGTGGAGGTGGGGACGTAATTGTCTTTTTATTATTACAAGAAATTACATGGTTATATTATTTGTATTTTATAATCTTTATATTATTACATATTATACAGTATAATCTTTATTTTATTTCAAAGAACTACCATTATATATACAATGATGATTACAACAATTAGAAAATACAGAAAAGAAAAAAAACCACTCATAATTCTGTCCTCCAGTGTTACCCACTGTTAACCTATCAATGTATGTACCTCCTTCCAGCTTTTTCTGAGCATAAAATTATATATGGTGTTCATGTAGTTAAACAATCTTTTTCTTAACAATATTTATGTCTAGACAAGATACAATTTAAAATTGTCAAATTAGGCATTCAAAGACTGTTCTTTGTATACTCCTTAGGATTTTTATTTATTTTTCTTCTTTGATCTACTTTTTTGATCCTTTTACTGCTGTCTGGTAACTCCTAGAAGAATAGAAGTTGAAATAAATATTGAAATCTGCCCAGAACTTGTGTGTGTGTGCATGTGCATGCATGTGTGTGCTTGTGCGTGTGTACGTGTGTGCATGTGTGTGTGTGTGTGTATGGAATCAGATCTAGGAAAACCAAAACTGGTCAAATGTGGGCTTGACCTTGTCCTCTATATCAGGGATCCCCAACCCCCAGGCCGCTAACCGGTACCAGTCTATGGCCTGTTAGGAATGGGGACGCACAGCCGGAGGCGAGCGGTATGAGCGCCAGTCTGTGGCCTGTTAAGAATGGGGACGCACAGTCGGAGGCGAGCGGTATGAGCGCCAGTCTGTGGCCTGTTAGGAACGGGGATGCACAGCAGGAGGTGAGCGGTATGAGCGGGCGTTACCGCTTGGGCTCTGCCTTCTGTCAGGTTAGTGGTGGTAGTGGGTTATCCCAGAAACATGAACCCTGTTGTGAACTGCACATGCGAGGGATCTAGGTTGCATGCTCTTTATGAGACTTTTTTTTTTTTTTTTTTTTGAGACAGTCTCACTCTGTTGCCCAGGTTGGAGTACAGTGGCGCAACCTCGGCTCACTGCAACCTCCACCTCCCAGGTTCAAGCGATTCTCTAGCCTCAGCCACCTGAGTAGTTGGGATTACAGGCATGTGCCACCACTCCTGCCTAATTTTTGTATTTTTAGTAGACACTGGGTTTCGCCACGTTGGCCAGGCTGGTCTCGAACTCCTGACCTCAAGTGATCCACCTGCCTTGGCCTCCCAAAGTGCTGGGGTCACAGGCGTGAGCCACCAAGCCTGGCCACTCTTTATGAGAATCTAACTAATGCCTGAGGATCTGAGGTGGTACAACAGCAGATCTACAGTTTCATCCTGAAACCAACCTTCCGCCCTCCTGCCCTTCTGCCACCCGATCTGTGGAGAAATTGTCTTCCACAAAACCGGTCCCTGGTGCCAAAAAGGTTAGGAACCATACCTCTATATAAGTGACCTGTAGATGGGAGCATTATATTTTCCCATCCTTTCTTTCCCAGAAAGAAAGTGACACAGGGACCTTCAAGTGCTCAGATGACTGCTACAAGATGTAAGTAGATGATGTTTGGGCTTAGAGAAACTGTACCTGGCTCTGTTGCTGTTTGGACAGGACCTGAGTTTGGAGCCCAAGCGCTAGGTGGGAGTTAGGAGATGTCTCACTCTACTCTGCAGATCTCAGCTCCCCAGGCCAAACACGCCAGGGGAATTGGGGTGAGTAAAGAATTTCAGCAGCCTGACCCTGCAGCCCCCACAGATGGCTATCAGGCATGCTGGAGATAGGCAGCTCTTACAGCTCGGCCGGTAAGCTGCTGGTCTTTTGCAAGGCATATTTGCGACATGTAAATGTTACGGCCTCATGCTGGCTGGGGTGGATAAATGTTTCTAAGGTCTTTAAAACAGGAAATAAGGGCTTGCAAATTCTTTGGTTGTGCAGCTCCATCTCAGGAATTCTCCAGGTGATTGAAGACTGCATTCACAGACTTGCATGAAGGTGGATTGCTCTTTTAGGGGAAAGGGAGAAGCAGTAGAACCCCATTGAGTCCCACATTCTTCTGGATGTTTTACTGTTTCAGTACTCAGCCCTCCTGGTTTATGAGAACAGACTACTTTTTTTTTTCTTTTTCTTTTTCTTTTTCTTTTTTTTGAGACAGTCTTGCTCTGTCACCCAGACTGGAGTGCGGTGGCGTAATCTTGGCTCATGGCAACCTCAGCCTCCCAGGTTCAAGCGATTTTCCTGCCTCAGCCTCCCAAGTAGCTGAGATTACAGGTGTCCGCCACCACGCCCAGCTAATTTTTTTGTATTTGTAGTAGAGATGGAGTTTCACCATGTTGGCCAGGCTGGTCTCGAACTCCTGACCTCAAGTGATCCACCCACCTCAGCCTCCCAAAGTGCAGGGATTATAGACGTGAGCCACCGTGCCCAGCCAAACAGCATATTTATTGTTAGGGAGGGAACAGTCTTCATTATTTCTGTTTTTTTCTTTTTCTTTATCAAGATAAAATTCACATAACACAAAATTCACCATTTACCCATTTTAAAGTACACAGTTAAGTGGCCTTTAGTACATTTACCATGTTGTGCAACCATTACTGCTCTCTAGTTCCACACGATTTCATCACTCCAGAAGGAAACCCATACCCATTCAGCAGTTCCCCGCATTCCCCCCTCCCCCCAGCCCTGGTAACTACAAATCTACTTTCCCTCTGTACGGACTTTTCATGGAAATGGAATCATACCGTATGTGGCTTTTTGTGACTGGTTCATTTCATTTAGCATCATGTTCTTGAGGTTTATCCATGTTATGATATGTGTTAGAATTTCCTTCCTTTTTATAGCTGAATAATACTGTGTTGTATGGGTAAGTTACATTTTCTTTTCTTTTCTTTTTTTTTTTTTGAGATGGAGTCTCGCTCTGTCGTCCAGGCTGAAGTGCAGTGGCACGGTCTCAGCTGACTGCAACCTCCACCTTCTGGGTTCAAGCGATTCTCCTGCCTTAGCCTTCCGAGTAGCTGGGACTGCAGGTGCACACCACCACACCCGGATACTTTTTGTATTTTTAGTAGATACAGGGTTTCACTGTGTTGGCCAGGACAGTCTTGGACTCCTGACCTCCAGTGATCTGCCTGCCTCAGCCTCCCAAAGTGCTGGGATTATAGGCGTGAGCCACCGCACCAAGCCACATTTTTCTTTATCCATTGATCCGTTGATGGGCATTTAGATTTTTACCTTTTGGCTATTGTGAATAGTGTTGCTATGAGCATTCGTGTACAAGCTTTTGTTTGAACCTCAGTTTTCAACTCTTCAGGATGCATACTTAGAAGTGGCATTGCTGGGACATATGGAAATGCTATGTTTAACTTATTAAGGAGCCACCAATTGCACTATTTTAACATATCCACCAAAAGCAATGCGTGAACGTTCCAATTTCCTAGTATCATCCTCACCAATACTTATTTTCAGGGTTTATTTTTTATTTTTTATTTTTTTTGAGATGAGTCTCACTCTGTCGCCCAGGCTGGAGTGCAGTGGTGCGATCTTGGCTCACTGCAAGCTCCACCTCCTGGATTCACGCCATTCTCCTGCTCAGCCTCCCGAGTAGCTGGGATTACAGGAACCCGCCACCATGCCCGGCTAATTTTTTGTATTTTTAGTATAGACAGGGTTTCACCATGTTAACCAGGATGGTCTCAATCTCCAGACTTCATGATCTACCCGCCTCAGCCTCCCAAAGTGCTGGGATTACAGACGTGAACCACCGCGCCTGGCCTCAGGTTGTTTTTTTTTTTTTTTGACACGGAGTCTCACTCTGTCGCCCAGGCTGGAGTGCAGTTGCGTAGTCTTGGCTCCTGCAACCTCCACCTCCTGGGTTCAAGCGATTCTCATCCCTCAGACTCTGGGGTTACAGGCATTAGCCACCATGCCTGGCTAATTTCTGAATATATATATATATATTTTAATACAGATGGGGTTTCACCATGTTGGCCAGGCTGGTCTTGAACTCCTGACCTCAGGTGATCCACCCGCCTTGGCCTCCCAAAGTGCTGGGATTACAGGCATGA